TTAAATACACATCAAACTCTCTTCCTGCAGAGACAGCATATGGCAGTACATGATGACTGATACCAGGGTGCCAAATAAAATCTGTCAGGCTCAAGAAATTATTGTTGCCACTGCAGCCACATGGAGCGTTTGTTAACCTCCAGCTGGTTCTGAGCAACTCTGCTCTTCCAACTCCCAACAGGCATACTCACACCAACAAACTTTACTCCTGGTAAAGTCAGTGTGCTCCTGGCACGACTTTTTTTATCCCTCCTTTAAGATTTCCTACCAGAGCAACCCTACCATGTTCCATCACAATACATCTTCCTCCCCCAGAAAACTCCCCATTTGATCATCATGTCAGATTTCTTGACACTGATGCCTAGAAACAGAACATATAACACCCACTTCCAAAACATCTGTTAAAATTCCAAGCACAGCACATATACCACAGTACACAGAGATCAAGAACAAAGAACTAGAAAGAAAAAGAAAACTAAAGATCATGACACTTTCAGACGCATCAGTGGTGGTGACCATGTAGGGTACTAACTCATCTATGTGCACCACTGTGCAACGACAGCTGAGCTCTCTACAGACCTTCAAAATAATTAACATGGGCTTTTATCCATGAAATATGCATCGTATTTCTCAGGAAAAAAAACTCCTAAGGAGCTATAACCTAAAAAGGATCACATTTCTCTGCAACTGGCACCCTCTTTTGCTGACAGGGAAAAACATAATCAGTGCTAACATTTTGTTTCCGAAACACAGCTCCTATTGTCATCACATTTTGACTCACCAGCACACAGTATCAGCCTGTGGTTGGCAGGTTTAATTTCCTGCTAGTGCAAATACGTGGCCTGTTCAAGCCCACAACTTATCCACCAATGTAAACACGTGAAGTGTCATAAACTACATTTCAGTGAAATGAGTAGTCTAAATTCTCTACTTTCAAGAGCCATAAAAAAGGCAATAGCCCCGAATTCATCAGCCCAGTAGAACTAACTTGCAGTGACAGCTGCTAGCAGCTTGAGGAATCATCAACACTTCTCCATCAGAGCACTCACAGTGCTAATGGTTAAATTTCAAAACAATTGGCTAAATTGCTAGAAGCTTATGCTAACATCACCAACATAAAGTCCTGATACCTCAAAGCCTGGTCTAATTAGTGCAGACAGAGAGCAGGGAGAAGGTCAGAGTGGACAAGATCACCTCCTACTGACAGAAAGAATGGACCAGGTTTGTGTGTCAGTGAGATGTTTAAGTTGTTTTTTTATACTTCCAGGTATTATTTGTTGCATTTCCCACAACACTACTGTGGCCTCTGCACAATCACCAGCCAGCAGGACAGCATCTGGTTTGAGACCTACCTTCAGTTTTGGGAGACTCCTCATGAACTGCAGGTAAAAATGGGTTGACATGAAACTTTCTGCATCACCTAAAACTTTGATGTTTGTAACCAGCCCTCCAAGAAAGCTTTCTGCTGTGCTAAAGCAGGTATTTCCCTCTTGGTGCTGCTAGGAGATTTTCCTTGCTTTTAAATCTTGAGGAATGGGTTGCAGGAGAGAGCACGAGATCTGTGCAAAAGAGGCTCTTCCTTTTCTGGCTTTGTACATCACGCAACACACTGCAGTCCCGGTTTGAGATAAGCTCTCTAAATTGTATGGTGGGGCAGGGACAGCAGGTTAAAGGCAGGCTGATGTCTTTATAACCACACTTCAGGCTCTACTTTGGCCTTTGGCGACATGGCCCTGGAAGAAAACTTCCTATTTTCTCTCTCCTCAGTACTGTTTTCTGCAAAACAAATAACATCTCTGCAGAAGAGGAACTATTTGTGCTCATACATCAAAAGGCAGCGCATTGAGATGAAGGACTTCTCACACTGTTGTGCAAACCACAACTCCTCTGTGCCTAGAGCTGCTTGAAGCATCACTCCAGGAACCCAAAATGCATTAAAAAAATGTTTTTTATCATCAGTTAATGTTCTTCCTAGTGATCTATACAAATCTGGTAAGATCTGGAAGGTTGAGCTTTTTAATCATAATATACACAGGAGGGCTGGGAGCAGAAGGGGGCATGCTAGGATTACCCCTTCAAATACCAAGAAAATGAAGATGTTTTTCACCCTTTTTTCTTTCCTCCTGGAAGTCTCTGTAAGAGTTCAAGCAGTTAAAGAGGTAAACATTTTGTTCTCAAAGAAGGATGAAGTAATATTTAATCAGTAAAAGACTTTCTCTTTACTACAGATCGATTCAATCTATTGATTTTTAAATCTATTTTACTGGGGATCTGCATGTAGTCTAATTAAAACCACTTTCTTCCTCAGTTACTTAACACAATGCCCCAGGATAGGTCAACACCACTTGGAAAGCGTTTGCAAAGCTGCCACAGACTGGGCATTGTGCCTGAAGAGCAATAAAAATTATGCTTTTTTACATATATTGGATAATTCAGTTATTTCATAATCAGCTGCACTGTGTCAGTTTAGTTTATTCACCTGTTCTGCTGTTTAAAAATGCAAAGGACACAGCATTTCAGTGTCATTTCATAGGCTGCCACCAAATCAGCTGCAGAATCATTTCCCATCTTCTGAGAGATGCCACCCCCTCTCCGCTATTGTGGTCACACTAAGGGTTTGACACAGGAACAGAGCAGACCTGCGCTCACACAGGAACACCTTGCATGCCTGTCACTGAGCAGTGCATCACAAATACATGCTTTGTGTTAACAATGGCTGTAAGGGGAAAAAACTAGGAGCAAAAGAGGAAGTGGGTACTCCTTTGTATTCACAGTGGTGTAGGAAAACAAGTGAGAGACCAAGAGACTCCTGCAATCTGAGAAAGGATTTTGTGCCTCAGAAAGGGTGACAGTCATTCCAGGGAGGAAGAGGGAGGCACAGAGTGTGCAGGAGGAAGCAAGTTATATCCAGACAACTAAGAGATAAGAGGTGTATCCTTACATGTGGTTCTCATTACTTTTTCTTTCTAATCCTTCTCAATAATGTTTTGGCTTTCACTGTGCTGTCTGGTTCTTTGCAATAGACCCCTGAAATGAGGGGCCTTGTTGAAGAGAACTAAGGGATTTGATAGCCTAATTTAATATATGAGGGGCAATTTCTAAATGTTTTTCCAGGAGAGGGAGGTTAAAACCTTGCTAGCCCTGTAATAAAACAACCTATCAGCTCAGATTGGATTTGAGCTGGACTGCAAGAGAAGCAAGACCTTGTACCCCCTTAACAGCACATCTCCCTCTTGTCTTCCACACAAACCAGCAAAAAGTAATTTCCAAATATATTTTCGTTGTTGTTCTTTCCTTCCAAAGGAAAATGCTTTCTCAAAGAATTTTGAGAGTCAAAGGACATAACAACCCAGCAAGCTGGTTTCAGAGCTTTTACTACAGCCTCTTTATGCCCCTTTGCAGTCAGTGCTCTGGAAACCTGCAGTGAGGGAGATTGGCTCCCAAGACTCGAGTTCTAAAATTCCCCAATTCAGACCACCACTGAGCTGCATTATCTAATAACAAGCAACTACAAACTACAGTTTAGCTGTCTAGGGGCAGTTTGCCACCAAACCTTAGCAAGCTTTTACCTAGCTGTCACTGCTCCTTTACTCAATCAATTAAAAACTGAACACACCCATGTTTTATAGTTAAACATTAATATTTCTATGATTCAGAACACCACAGTAAGGCTCTAGTGCATGACATTTCCATACCTTAGTTAAAGTTAATCTTACAATTAATTAACTTCAGTTAAAATGAGGAATTTAACCAGTAATCTCCAATTGCTTTACTCCATAAAATCGTAGCTGCACCACAGACACATTTCTATACTAAAGCTACTAGACAGTGGCTGACTTCTTTTAATGCCCAGACATTTTTCCATCAGAAAGATGTGGCTTTAGTAAAATAAATATTTTTACATGGAAAATATCATTTGAAAGGATACTAAAACTGTATTTTTAATAAATTAACCTTCACAGAAAATTGAACTGACTTCTGGTTTTAATCTGAGAACATAAGCACTCCCTTGGGGAAAAGGGAAGAAACTTAAAGGTGAAAGGAAACAAAATCCAGAGAAGGAAAATGGAAAACTGAATACTTGCATTGCCAAAGTGGCACTGGAAAATTATAGCAAGCATGCTTTTGCTTAGGAAGTGAAGAAGGTGGAAGCAGTTGGTCCAAGTTTATACAGTAAGTCAGAGGATGAAAACCTAGGAAGGCTCCCCTCCTCTGGCAACAGCCACCAGAAGGAATCTGCTTCAGAACAGCAAAGGTTGGAGCCAGAAGTGGTTTACTTACTCTGTGCAGGACTGTTTCACATCAAAACCTGTAGTCACAGACTCTGTCATCATAGTGGTATCATGTACATTCCCCAGCTGCAAACACTCATTCACTTGTGCAAGTTGGTTAAGTAATTTCAAGTTGGTTTAAAACCCCAAATGAAAGGCGAGTGAGCAAAGTGCTCCGACACCAGCCTTTAGTCACAGAAGAGTTAGAGTTGCAAAGGACCTTAAGATCATCCAGTTCCAATCCCCTCCATGGGCCAGGACACCTCAAACTACACCATGTCACCCAAGGCTCTGTCCAGCCTGGCCTTGAACACTGCCAGGGATGGGGCAGCCACAGCTTCTCTGGGCAACCCATACCAGTGTCTCATCACCCTCACAGTAAAGAGCTTCTTCCTTATATCCAACCTGAACTTCCCCTGTTTCAGTTTGAACCCATCACCTCTTGTCCTACCACTACAATCCCAGAAGAGTCCCTCCCCAGCATCCTTGTACCCTTCACATACTGGAAGCTGCCCTGAGGTCACCATGCAGCCTTCTCTTCTGCAGGCTGAACAGCCCTAATTCTCTGAGCGTGTCTTCTCACAGGAGGTGTTCCAGCCCCTGATCATCCTTGTGGCCTCCTCTGGACTTGCTCCAAAACTTCTTAATGCTCAGAGGTAGCAATACAGAAATATTCAGACCCAGGCTGCAGGTTTTTTTTTTTCTTACTCATTTTTGGGGGGATCATTTATGCTGGATACCATTAATGAGCTTGATTCATGAAGACTCAAGCTTTTGGCTCCAATCTAGACTACACACATTGCTAAGACAGTTCCTGGAACAGTCTGCTTCAGAGCAAGAAGGTACTTTGAAAAGCATCAGAATACAAAGCATCTCCACAGGCTCCCTTTGTTTATCACCTCTCATGGGCTCCAGAACATAGTGGCTGAGTAAACAAGAGAGTGTTACAAGCAACAGCCTTTTTCTTTCAGCTCCGACATCTCTGTGGCATCTATAACCCACACTCGGTCCTCCCTTGTTCTTAGAATAAAGCTGCAAGAGGGACAAGATCCATTCTTAAACACACCTTCATTAACATTAAAATCCAACCTTGTGAGGGCAACTCTACTCCCAATGAAAATAAATTAGCCAGATTTCCTCAGTTTGCAAGCCAGCCAATTAGAAGACAATTCTTATTTGTACACAGCAAAACAGTAGCAGCAGTCAAGCACAACTGTTGAACTACCATCACTCCATCCAAGGCAAAACCACACAGATTTCTACATGATGATGATTCTTCCATTCATGGGAGCTCACAAATCCCACGTGGCAGTGTTGAGAATAACTGTAAATCTTGATGCTTCTCCCAGAAATGACTATGCTTACAGAGAGCATGCTGAAGTGAAAGGATATCGTATTTTTTCTCCTTTTCTTAGGATTCTTTCTGGCTCATCCCTTCCAGGACTCAGTTTCAACAAATCCAAGAATTTCTGACACTGCAATACCTCATTTTCTAGCCCTGCCCTCAGGATCCTGATGAGGATTTCATTACAAGCTCAGCCCCACAGCCTTACTGCTCAAGTTTCAAGACTTTGAATGGAGGTGTAGAAATACAAGTTTTTGGGAGGGGAGAGAGGGAAGGAATCCAAATAAAAAAGGGGTTATCTGCTCTACCATTTCATTTCATTCAGAGACACTTCGCAAGAGATAATGAATTCTGAGTATCAGTAAATTTACATAATCCAGCCACCCACTATCAGGCTGGTTAGCTTAAATTTGGCTATATATTTTCCCTTGCCAAACTGTTCCTGCAGCAGGCCCCTTACTTGGCAGGATTGCTGCTGCTATTCTGGCTGTAGAACACATTTAAGGGGAACACTCTGTTCCAGTGTGTTGAATTTATCCTCGGCAAACTCTTCCTTCCTCCTCCCTGTGCCACCAACACCAGAGCAGCCCCAGCCTCCACCCTGGCTCATCCATCCTCCAATTCCACAGCTCCAAGACTCCATCTTTCCTTGGGAGTCTTCAACGACTGCCAGAGTCCTGTCAATGGAATCACATACGCTGAAATAACTCGACGGGCAGCATGAAAACGTTTAGTGCAGGACTTACTTTACGTAAAGTGGAGTGACGGGAGCTGTATTTAGAGGCTGATCTCCAGCCTAAATTTGGGTTTCTTTAAAACTGTGATGAAGTTACATGCCTTTCTTCTGCCTCAGTTCCCTCAATACAAACCACATACAATAAAAATCCCTATGAAAAAGGCTGCTGGACAGAATTAATGCAGAGTTTCTTCTCCCTCCCCAGCTCATCAGGCCTGGAGACTGCTGTAACAACCTACTCTTCTCTTTGTCCAAGTTACCATCATCTTCATTGAGACATGGTGATAAAAAGGCAGTGGGACATGTTGCCTGTAAAACCAAAACCCTAAAAGGGACAGAATCAGGATTTTGGTGGTTTGGGCTTTCTTTTAAATTTGTGAGAGGTACCCATTATTTCCCCCTAGGAATCACCAAGGTTGCTTATTATTGCTCCTGAAACAAAGCTAGAAAACAAAAGCTTAAATACATAAGTGCTAGTACCAGGTTGCAGGTCTTTAAAACATCCAGCAGAAAAGTACAGTCAAGTACTCTGCTCAGAGCTCCTTTACAAGACAAACGCACTGAAATGAAAGAACCAGATGTGTGTCGCCACAGAAAGAGGAATAACACAACTTGTGACTTGCTTATACCTAACTTTGCCTTAAAATCATTAACATGTTAGAGCTTGGTTTGTGGCTGAGCACTTTCTATTACACATGATATTATTCTAGACAGAAAAGCACTCTGAAGTGAATTTAGCCTAATGAGAGAAGCCCGTGATGACACTTAAAAAATCACTCATTTATCTTTTGAAAAGAAACAGCATAAGAAAATTCACCATACTCACAAATTTCCTTCAGGTTTGCTCTCTATGACAAGTTTAATCCCAGGCCAGTTCCATTAGCTCTGACTTTGGTAGCTTTATATAGTGTTTGGTTGTTCCCTGGGAATCAGTTTGAGATGCAACAACAGCTTGCACCTGAGAGCCATCGGAAAGTAATTAACTCAGAGTTAACATCAGCTGTGTTCACAAATGAACAAGTGATTCAAAGGTTAAAGGCTTCACATTCAATTCTCCAGATATATCCACATAGAGACTGCCTTAAAGTAATTTGCAATGATTAATACATGTTATGAGCTGGCAGTACCTAATACAGGCATGTGCCAGATTTATGCTTGGATGGGAGAAAGAAAGGACACTGCTGTCAGGAAGAGACCTGCCTGCTTGACCCATATAAAAATATAACTCTTACTACATCATTACTATGTTATCTGAGCCTGGCAGAATGCAGCCAGCCAGCCTGGTGTCTCTAAACCAAAAACCTACTGAGGATGCAGTCTGGCTTCTGCAGCTAGTCAACTATTTTAACACCTGCATGATTTCTACATCTCTGTTTCTTAAGTGAAGGTTACACTTGTTGTACCACTCAAACTGGATTTTGTTCAGAGCTATCTAAACTGAACTTTCAATAAAATGGCATTTTTTCTTGTTAATATAGAGCAATAAATATTGCTGTTGGGAATAACAAATTTGTCTTTCTCAGCTAGGAAATAACACAACCAGGAAAGCAAATAACATCAAACCAAATATCTAGCCTTCATATGCCCAGTTATTAGGGGAAAAAAAACAACCAACAAACCAACTTCAAAGGAAGGCATTCTGCCAAACAACTGTCTTCACTTGAAAAAAAACAGAATAATTACTAGCACTCTCTTACCTTGTGGATGAAGTCTCAAGTGAGCTTCAGGCCTAAATGGTCTTGTAAATGCAGCATAGCTTGAGCTCAGACAAGCACCTTAGGAGAACACTTTGAGAAGTGCTTGAACTTAGTTGCATTACTTATCACTGAAGATGATTTGGGTTGATTGGTTTCTAAATGAAACCAAATGAGCTGAAACCATCCATTTAAAGCATCACCAGCTCCAGAAATTAAAGGTAAAGACCCTGAAAATCAATGAGCCTGATTCCTAAAAGTGAGGATGAACAAGGTAAGCAGAAAAGTGGAAAGTGAAAAATCCAACTATCCTGATGCTGGAATCCTTAAACGGTGCAAACAGTAACTAGAGAAGTTACAGGCACTTTAAAAAATGTGATAGTTTTGCAAAGCACTAATGTACATATTCCTAATGAGTTTCAGCCCAAATCTGGGTTGTTTGGAGACATTTCTAGTGTGAACAATTATGTCAGGACTTCGTAACTACTAAAAACAAAGAAGTATTAAAGCAATGTCCATATATACACCAGAGGCTGTGGGAAAACCCTTAATTCTGTCCCTAACTTTTGACTTGGAAACTCATAGAATTTATATAAAGCATTTCTGCTACATTATTTCTTAGAATCATGGAGTGGTCTGGGTTGGAAAGGACCCAGTTCCAACCCCCTGCCATGGGCAGGGATGCCTCACACTAGACCATGTCTCCCAACACTCCGTCCAACCTGGCCTTGAACACTGCCAGGGATGGGGCAGCCACAGCTTCTCTGGGCACCCTGTGCCAGAGCCTCAGCACCCTCACAGGGAAGAGCTTCTGCCTTAGATCTAACCTGAACTTCCCCTGTTGAAGTTTGAACTCATCACCCCTTGTCCTGTTGCTACAGTCCCTGATGAAGAGCCCCTCTCCAGCATCCTTATAGCCCCCTTCAGACACTGGAAGCTGCTCTGAGGTCTCCACACAGCTTTTCTTCTCCAGGCTGAACAGCCCCAACTCTCTGAGCCCGTTTCCATACAGGAGGTGCTCCAGCCCCTGATCATCCTCATGGCCTCCTCTGGACTTGCTCCCACAGCTCCATGTCCTTCTCATGCTGAGGACACCAGAACTGCACACAGAGGTGCAGGTGGGGTCTCACGAGAGCAAAGCAGAGCGGCAGGATCACCCCCCTCAACCTGCTGCTCACACCCCTTCTGATGCAGCCCAGGCAAGGGGTGGTTTCTGGGCTTTGAGCACACATTACTGGGTCACGTTCACACACCTCCCTCGAGAGTGGGTCAGACCAACAGACTGTCTTTCAAGACAGAATCTCCTACTACTATCACCACCACTTTCTCTTGACTGCACCGGCATTTGTCCTCTTTGTTGGTGCTGCAACTGGTTGTTCCCTTGTGGTGGTGTTGCCTGGTCAGCCCCCACAGAGCTGTGAAGTGGTTCTGGGTGGGGATGTCAGGCACTGGAGGAAGGCCGTTGCCTTTGTTTGTCCTCTTTTCGTTGTTTCTCGTGACAAGTTCCAACCCCTGCATTAATGCACTCTTTCCTTTCCCTGTGCGTGCCACTTGCGCCTCCTCACAGTGGCTGCAGGTGCCCCGCACTCCCGCTCCCACTCAGCTTCCTGATCTCCCTCGGGTTTGTGCCTGCTTCCCTCAGCTCAGCCACCCGCCGCAGGAGCTCCTGCACTGGGGCACACCGCGTACAGCCCGGTCCGTTGTTCACCCTTGCCTCCAGAGCAATGGGGAGGCTCCTCCGGCACTGAGCTCTGCGCTGCAGCCTCCCCTGTCACCGGCTCCTCTGGGTGCCACCACTGCGGGCAGGCGGCGCCGAGCTCCCAGGGCGGCCCCGGCTCCGGCCTGAGGCGGCACGCGCCGTTCCCGCCCAAGCCGCCATCCACCGCGGGGATCCCCATCCCGGTTGCCTGCAGGACCCAGGTCCCCCCATCCCCGCTCTGGGAAGCTCCGGTTGAAGCCCAGGGAGCCCAGGGTTAACCACATCCCTGCAGGCGGCCACCAGCTGCCGTCTGCGAAGGCCAAAAGGAAGAGGGGAGGCTCTTTTCCAGAGGGTTTTGCAGCTGTTTATGGACAAGTGCCAAAAGCAGGGATCCTGAAGTCTGGGGTTAGAAGCCTGTGGGGGTGAACATGCCTTAGGAGCAGCAGACCCTTTCTGTTGAGAGAGCTGTTGGGGTAGGTAGTAATGGCACCCCAGACCTCATCCCCCCATTCCCACCTGCACAGCGCACCAGTCGATGTCTCACACATTCCTCCTGCTCTTCCTCCATGTGCCCCGGTCCCCAGGACCTCAGCTGGCTTCACCCTCCTTTCTGTTGGGGACAGCAGAGGCACACCAAGAGCCTGACACTAGAGCTGCTCCTGTGTGAGTGAGGTGGGGCGATATGGGGAGCTTCCTAGGTGGGTGTCAGCCCCAGTCCTGGCCTCAGTGCCAGAAACTTGCCTGGTGTGTATGATGGAGGTGCCCACCGTGGTGGAGCTCAGCACGGACAAGCAGGTGCAGGAGCAGGGATACACCTCCTGCACCACAGGGTGTCCTGGACAAATCCTGCCTGACCAAAGCAGCTCCTTCATTAGCCCGTTTTTTCATGGAGGAAATGGCTTCTAAGGCAAAACGCCATCAAAAGCAAACACCCAGCACAGAAAAGTCTGTAAATACCCTCACAAGCCAAACCCCAGATCTCATGGGAGGTGCTGAGCCGTCTCACCCCCACCTGCAGCTACTCTCCTCTCTGCTTCTCCACTTCCACAACTTCATCATGCTGCTGCCCTCTGCTACCCTGGGCGCCCTTAGCACAGGAGGACACACACGTTGCCCTCAGTCCTTAGTGAGCACAGCCACTGCTGTGCAAGTTTGGCTGCTGTAAGGGTGACCAAGGACATCTGCACTTCAGTGCCCTTCTTGGCCATGCACTACCAGCCTTTTACTTTGCTCATTATCAGTTTACAGTAGGCAGCAGCCAGCATCTTAAGCTAACTTAGCTTGGGCTTGTCCCCCGCAGGCCTCCAACGCAACTCTAAATTGAAGCAGAAACTTATCCCTGAAATAGAGTGCAGAAAAGCCTAAGTCCTTTTCTGGCACCAGAAACTTTGAATGTTTCTTAAATCAGAAGCATCAAATGCTCTCAGCTCTATGTAGACTTTGATTCTCTTCCACAGCATTTCTGAAGCCTGCAGATAAAGCAATATTAAGATACCTGCCAGAGCCATAAAGCTTCAAACTATACAAAGAAAGATGACTGGTTTTCAGCAGCCTATCTGGATTGCCTGGCTGGATTAAGCGTGAGTAAACCCTTCTACCTTGCAGTGTAAAAACTTCATGGATTTGCACATTTTCTGATGGCTGAAACACGAGCCAGTCCAGCGTGACCAGCTGGAAGCATTAACGTGCAACAGTGTAAAAGCAGTCAAATACCTTATTATCATGACTGTCACTCAGCAATAGCTGTGGAACATGAATAAGGAACACATCGAATCTGTTCTAAATAATTGGCAGTATGCATTTATATAGGACTAGGGTTGCATATTAAAACACACCTGATTTATTCTTCATAAGCAATGAGTATTTACTACTACATCTGTGTCAGCTGTATAGATTCAAATCTCATTTTTTTAAATGATTAATTGGTGTTTAATTAGCATGTATTACCATACTAGTTATATACATCCTAGTTGTGAATGCAAATATAATTCTAATAATTATATAACTAGTTATGCTTTCAAGAGCCTAGTACATAATGCAGTGCAGACAGCTTCCCTTGCCAGAGAAAAACAGCATGTTACACACACACAGTAACATTTTAGAACTGCTTAAATCCTCTTTTCAAAATTGATTTTGGTCTAAAGAATTTTTTGGCTTCCCAGTGCTTGAGTGCAAAATTTATTGTGCCACTGCCCTTCTAAAACCCTGTTACACAACCCCACCAGCATTTTGATTCCTGCTGTTTAGCACATACAAAGCCACATAAGACCATCAGACCACTAAACAGACTGGCTGGTGCTGTACCTCCGTGCGGATCCATGAGGATCCAAGGTGGGATTATCCCTCCTAGCAGAGAATACCTATGTTTTACCTACCTCTCAAGCTATTTAGGGTACAATGTAAGACTCTTTTCCAGCAGTCAAATCTCCCCTGATGCTGCTAGTGTCCTCATGTATTCCCCCTCTAAGCACTGAAGAATACAGACAAACCCCAGCCCCTTTTCTGCACTTCAGAAAAAAAATGCACCCGCTTATTGGTAGCTGTGAGGAAAAAACATCAGGCCCAATTCTTTGCTCCAACACCACCTCCCCTCTTCTCTTTCCCAAGCCCCTCAAATACACAGGCTGCTGGCCCCATTTTTGCCAACTTAGAGATATTTCTATTTCTAGCTGTAGCTCGGGGTACAAGGAACTCTGTTGCAACTCTTCATAGGACTCAGCAACAATCCTGCTTCCAAGTCCAGGTACATCTTTTAAGAGGAATACACCCTGTGTGTCTCTAGAAGCCTACAAAACCATATTTCTGTAGCTGAGGCCAAAGGCCTACAACTTCCTAGCTGTTAGGTGTGAGCTTGCAGCTCAGTGAGAGGCAGAGGGTACCAGAGCCACTGGCCTCAGGGCACACCAGAGCATCCCCCAGCTGTAGTTAATGGGGAAGAGATGGCTGCATTTGTCAGTCTGATGCAAACAACCCCAAGATGCAGCATTTTCTCTGAGTTCAGTGACTCCCCGCACAGACCATCCTCTCTCCTGAGCAGCACTCCTGCAGCCCTTTATCCAGATCTCTTTGCTTCCCATCAGCAGGAACAAAAAGCCTGAAGCTATTCAGCTGCACTGACCAAGCTTTTCCTCCTCAGACTCTGTGTGAGTGATGTTTATCTTTCATTTCTCCTGTTGAGCCCAGTGCAGGAAAATCCCCCTGAAGATAAATCCCCTCTTTTTAAATGTTAGATTTTAATGGAAATAGGTTTTAGTCAAAGATTTGCTGATCGCTCATGGTGAATAAAAAAGCCTTTGGTTTATAAACAATCGCGCTTGTATTACCTGGTCTCTCTTTTTGTCATGCCTCGCTCTTTATCTCTTTATCTTGTAGAGGTTACTAAAGTGGCTTCTGTCAGTTATTGCTCAAAAAGAACCATTTGATTGTCCTTGTACAATGCAGCCACACAAC